TTACGAGCGCCTTTTGGGTCACAAGGTAAATGTGAATTTTCAAGGAAGGCCACGCCTTTTGCCATATCGTATGCTTTTTGTGGAATTGTCGATGAAGCAAACGTATGTTTTGCTATAACAATCGACTACTATACTTTATTTTCCGAATTAAGTATTGTTTTTCGTGAGTACCAGTAAATCCGTTAAATCATCACCTTAAACGAAATTGGGTGAATATATCTCATAACTGAATTACTGGTAGTCACGAAAAACAATACTTAATTCGAAAAAGAAAGAGAAATAGTTGCATTTTATCACACTGAGATAAGTAGGCCTCAATATGCCATTGAATTTTATATAGCATTGTCTCCCAAAGGTATTCTCATACCGGCTGGATTGGACTGCAGTTTCGACCTCGTCTGGCCCCGAGTCACAGCGCTTTCGTGAATTTCAGACTAGGAAGGAAACCTCCTTCACCTCACCTGTAAAATGGGATTGTCGATAGGGCAAATTAGTATTGTGCTATTACAATCAACTACTTATACTTGGAGAAAGTAAGTTTGCAAAATTTCCAGTCCTATACAATATCTACCGATAGTTTAGAAACCTGCTCAATTCGAATATAAGTAGGGTAGTATATTGTAATAGCATTTACAAGTTTGCCTCAGAAAATTTCACTACTTGCCAATGCATGACTTGCCTTGAGATTCACCTCTGACTTGTAACTCATGGTGAGCCGTTTCTATGTGGCCTGGTGGTAACATATTAAAATTATGCGTCACATTATCCCAGTTTAAGTCCAGTTGCGATTGCTGATAAAATCCAGGCGAGACAGAAACTGTAGTCTATCCTGAGTAGGAATATATTTTTGGGGGTTAGGTCAAATAAAATTATATGGGAGCGGGAGTCCCGCTCATATTGTTATTGGAGAATTCAACTACTAGTCCTTCATCATCCTATGCAACCTAGGGTGAACGTGGTATCGAAGGTGATTTCCTCGAAGACAGCAACAACCAGAATGTTACAGTAAAGCCAATCTACGACCGGTCAAAAGAAGTCCACCGTTATCTTCTGGTAGGATCGACCGTCACACACTTTTACTCGAAATAAGTGAGCTCAACAATTGTAAACAAAGAGATTCCTTCGCTTATGCTAATCAGACTCAACAAGATATGGCTGCAGAGGCTTAATTCATAGAAGGACGGCTAGAGTTTTGATACATATACGAAGAAAAAGAGGATCTCCTGAGATAAGATAGATGTCAAAACTTACTTTTCGTATGAAAGTACATGTTGGAGAGATTTGTAGGTCAATATCACCAGAAGACGTAGGTTGATTCGCGTTGTAGTGCAGCCATTTGGCATTAATACGACGTTCAGGTTGATGCAGTCCACGAGGCCTCCTCCAACGTTGCGGGCGAAGACGAGTTGAGCTTTCGTTCGTTATGTGAAGAACATCGTCAGAGTTGGGACTCATTCTTGTAAAAGCCTCGAGGGAATACTAGATCAAGAAGACTAACATACATTTTTCTATATGATATATATACTCATTGCGGGCAAAATTTAAGATAAACAATGGACATAGAAAAGTTTTGTCCGTAAGTAACCTTTGTTAAATTGATAAGATTTTAGTATGTATATGTAAAAGTCAGGTTACAAAACACCAAATCCGAACCCGTTAGTTTGGTTTATTAAGGTTTACTGACCCAAGGAGTAACTTGGCTGGCATTTCGTAGCCATGCACGTCTGTTTTAGCTGATGAGCTCGACATATCTGCTGAACGAATGTTGACTTGGTTAGAACCATCACTCAACCGACAAATAAAGTCCTCTTCTTTTGGACTGCAGCTCAACACCCTCTCTCTCTTTCAATCTTTCAATCAAGCTAAGGCAAATATTACTCCCCTTTCTACCACCATACTGGCGTACCTTTCATTTCGTTTAAGAAGGCGGGTCGAAGGGATTCGTAAATTATATTCATATGATAGTAGGGTTTCGAGACTACCAGTAAATCAGTGTAATGAGGTGTATTCACCCTATTTCGTCTAAGGTGATGAAGGACTGGAAGTATAATTTTCCTACAATTATATGAGTTGAGCTGACGTTTTCATTGAATTTCACATAGCCTTGCTTTCCCAAAAGTTGTTCTTAT